CGCGTGTGTATGTGTGTGTGAGAGAGAGAGAGAGAGATGTGTGTGCGTGTTTGTGTTGTGTGTGTGCGCGCGCGCGCGTGTGTGTGTGTGTGTGTGTGTGTGTGTGTGTGCGTGTGCGTGTGTGAGAGAGAGAGAGAGAGAGAGAGAGAGAGAGAGAGTGTGCATGTGTGTGTGTGCGTGTGCGTGTGCGTGTGTGAGAGAGAGAGAGAGAGAGAGAGAGAGAGGTGTGCGTGTTTGGGTTGTGTGTGTGACAGAGAGAGAGAGAACCCGAGGGATCAGGCATGCTCAGCGAAAAGCTGTTGGACCAACGTTGGATGGATTATCGTTCCAGATTCCCGATCATCCCGTTCTCTAACTTTTCTTACGTCTACAGTCCCCCTTCACCCCATCCCTTGATCTCAACAACCCAAAGTTTGATGTTGAAACAAATTATAACACGAATTTTACACAATGCTGTCACACTATTTACAATTTCTATGTTCCGGATTCGGTTCGGATTTCGGATCGGATTTCGGATTGGATTTAGCGATACACATCGGATTCGGATTCGGATTTGGATTCAAAAATTGCCATCGGATTCGGATTCGGATGGGATTCAAAATAGCCATCGGATTCGGATTCGGATTCGGATTTTCAAAAATGCTGTCGGATCGGATTTTTGGTTCATGTCGGATCCGACGCACAGCACTACTAGATGTGAATTCATTTCGTATATCAAGTGTATAGTTTATCATCCTATATCATTATAATATTATATTGTAACCCTTTTGATAAAGGCAAAGTATAATTTTTATATGTACTGGAGTGTTTATGTGTACATATTGTATAACTTGCTGCTTGCAAAATGCAACATGATATAATGATACATAAGCGAGTGAGATATCCTTCCTGTTTCATGTAAGGTGTGGGACAAATATGATATTCATGCAGGAGTTTCTGACATGATTTTCTATTCTAGAAATATTCCACAGACAGTTTTTTGGCAGCAACAGTTCAATATGCCAACTGGAATGTTTTTAATATTTGTTTAATATATGTTTTTTGTTCTACTGTATTTTGCGACATGATATATAATGTAAACGTAATGGTCCATTTTGGCTTTTGCGCTTTGTCACATGAAGGTTTTCGTCACGCTTCTCGTTTGTTTGTCTCTTGCCGCACGTAGTTCAACCCTATGGAGCAGTTGATGGGGGTGTTTCCAGCGGCTAGTAAGCAGCACCTTCCCGTCACGTTCAGAAGGCTCATGTTCGCCCCTGAGTCACCCATCATCGACTTCTACCCAGAAAACTTCTACGTGGATCTGAATGGCAAGAAGTATGCCTGGCAAGGTGAGAGTGCATCTGTCTATCGTATGCCTCACGTCGCAGAAAGTTTATTTATGATAAATTGTATTATATGATGATATAATTATATATTTATGATAATATGTCATGGGAATAAAGTATCAATCATTCCTGCTCGCAGCGAAAGATGTTTCAGCATTTGTGTTAGGAGAATTGTCTTGCTGAGTATCGAAGATACGCCAACTATTTGTCAAAAATTATTTTGCATAGAATTAACTGGCATTTCTTATGTTAATACTACTGGCGTTTCTGGAAAATGTGGAGATTTCTATGATTACACTGCGAGGTTGTTGCGTTTGTGCTCATGTGGTGTGTCAGCTGTTGTTGATGGCCTGCACTTTATCATTGTTTCTCTCACAGGTGTCGCATTGCTGCCATTCGTGGATGAGAAACGATTACTGAAAGCTCTGGTTGATGTTTATCCTGATCTCACTGAGGACGAAAGTAAACCTCCGCATGATCTTGTCTGATAGATGTTAATTTTGTGAAATTAAATTTGAACATGGGGCCTGCGTAGGCTAAATAGCATAAGTGAAAAGAGGAGATCTAATTATCCACATATGTCAGGTTGTGCTGGAAAGCTTGCATGGGGAAAGAAGATGGTTACTACTTATTTATACACTGGTCTTGTTTAAATTCATCATTAATGTTTTGTGCATATGTTGCATGTTTAATCATTTAACGCACGCTATTCTATTTTAAAGTTTTTGGCTACTGCCTCGAATTTTGATAGAAGTACATAACATACAGTCATACTGTATGAAACTAAGTGCGAATGTAGTTAACAAATAAGTGGGCGGAAACTTTTTTACTAGTGTCCACGCGCGTGTTATTGTGAGTTATGTCTGTCTACTTTCACCTCGTGATGAGCGTGTTCGTGGTCTCAGAGAGAAGAAACACTAGAGGAAACGACATTCTGTTCGTCGGAAAGGACCACCCCGCTCATGACTTCCTGGAGGGAATCACAGAGGGCTCCGGGGTTACAGACGTAAGTAGCGGTGTACACACACCGGGCTCTCCTAACTACGGCTGCAGAGTCGTTTAGTTACGAGAGACGTACGTGGCGTGACATAGAAGAGATACACATTCATTTAACCTTAGCTCAAAATCGAGCCAAACGCCTAGCAAAGCTATGCATTTTGTAAGAATATTCGAAACGATTACCTTTAGTTTAATGAATGACGACTTGTAAAAATTATGTGGACACACTTTTGACGGTTTACCGTACCTGCACTTTTGTAGGTCATGGATTGTACACTAATACTGCTTGTATGATATTTTTTGGCCATTTTGATGTAATTTATAACAAAATTTTGTGTACGTAAATTTTGGTGGAATTGTATGATTCCAAGAGAATAGTACTATATTTTATGTAAGAGTAAGACTACTTTAGATCACTAGACTAACTCTAGATTACAATAGAGTGAGAGTACAGTAGATTACACTGTACGAGTACGAGAGTAAAATGGATTACAAAAGTAAAAGTACAGTGGATTACGGTAAAATAAGAGTACAATAGATAGGTTACAGTAAAGTAAGAGTAGGTGGATTACAGTAAAATAAGAGTAAAGTAAGAGTACAGTAATATAAGCTATATGAAGCCAGATAATTGGTCAGAAAAGATTCAAAGTAATTGGTCAGAAAATTCTTAGTGTACCTTAACGGTTCTTAATTTGTCGACATTGTTCTCTGTAGTGGGTTCCGATCGACACCAAGCTAACGAGTGGGATGGGTGGCATAATCTTCACCGATCAACTTGCTATATGCAATGGCGGGTAAGACACGATTTCTGTATAAAGCCTGTAATATTTGTCACTTAAAGAGATGCTACACCCTAGAATTTTAGGGTATATTATGATAGTAAGTGCATAAATATTAGTATATACCTAAAAATTTCTATAGTCATGCATTCACATCAGGAGTAGATAATAGGGAAGGAGCGTGACATCAATAAACAAGGGAAATTCGTCATTTACTAGCCTTGTAATACCTACGATTTACTACGCGTAACTCATCCAACTTGAGCTCAAATCGTACACGGTACATTCGCCTAGCATCGTGCAAAATCGTTTCCTCGTATACACCAGCAATCCGGAGATACAGACTAAAACGTACGACACGATTATCCATTCTTTGGCCATCAATCCAAAAGTATTCCCTGCCGAACTTGCAAACAAAAGGCAGCTACTAATGCACTGTCGCTCACTCGGCGAGGCGGTGTGGCTCGCTGGGAGATTGGACATCGACGCAACACTCGGCGAGATAACCTTTGACCCGACATACAGCTACATACCGGCATACCGTTGGTATGCCCCCCACGCACGCACGCCCACCGCAATCTCCCTGCGAGCCACACCGCCTCAACGAGCGAGCGACAGTGCGTTAGTAGCTGCCTTTTGTTTGCAAGTTCGGCGGGGAATACTTTTGGATTGATGGCCAAAGAATGGATAATCGTGTCGTACGTTTTAGTCTGTATCTCCGGATTGCTGGTGTTACGACGGAAACAGACTTTCGCACGATGCTAGAGCGCGATGTATTGTGTACGATTCTGAGCTCAAGTTGGATAGTTACGCGTAGTAAATCGTAGGAAATTTCCGTTGTTTATTGATGTCACACTCCTTCCCTATTATCTACTCCTGATTCACATGTCATAAAACAACAGCGAGTTTCGAAATCTTAATTTTTGGCTGCTGACATGACACCACGCGATTGTGCTGCCACCCTGACAAAGTTGTGTTTTTTCCAATTTATTTTGCACGTTGCAGACTGAGGGCTAATCACAAAAAGTGCAATTATATTTTATACCCAACTGCTATTTAACCGAACGATTTTTATTTTAGGACAAATTCGTCCATATTATATCGGAATCTAAAAGTTGTTTATTAAATATTGCAATCCTCCTCATAAATTAATAAATAAGAAACACCCTCGGTCTGTAGCCTGCAGCCGAAAAGTTGCGATGCGCAAGGCAGGAGTTGCACCACCATCGTTGTAAGCAACGATACAGCCGATAAATTTAAAACATTAAAAAAAAAAATTCTAATAAATATTGAACAATGAAATTTTTTATGTAGCGTAATTTAAATCTATTTTAAATAAAAAATATGCGAGGAACATAGGGTCATGTAAAAGCGAAACCTCAAAGGTGTCATTTCTGGGCTGATGTCTATTCTACAGTTGGTTTTTCCTGTATAATTGCCATTCGAGAGAAATCCCAAAGACAAATGTTTGACTGTACTGTATTGTGAGTTTACGTTTTGAAATTGTTTTAATGTATGTACATAAGTAGTTAGCATAGATGTGGTGAGTATAATGTACAAGGTCATCTGAGCTTCTGTTCATTTACTTAAGAACCCACACACTAATGCACCCGGATGCTAATGCTAGGTGCTTCTAATGTGAGTCATGTTGGACAATCATGGCTAGTTATAGTGTTCGTCAGCTTCACTATGCCAGTATGCAGTGAATATGTAGCAATTTATGGGGTTTTGTGGAAAGTACGTTTATTTTTATACACTTACATTTACAACCGTTTTATACTTTTACATTTACAAATATCAACTGAAGCTACACATAAATATCTATATTTATATATACCAACTTCTGTTATTAAAAAGTTGTATGACATTATGAGAGTGAAATCACGTTTACACATCTGAAAAGTGAATACATAGTTACTCTGTAATAAAAACAGCGTGCATTAGCACAAATAGCAGTTTTGAAGAAAAAAATGCTCTAAATGATCAGCAGTAATAAAATAGCCCAGCACTGTAGATAAAATGATCAAACTACATCACTTGATGAGATGATAAAAGTTCATGTATGTATATGCGTAAATATATGTGAATCTATAAATAACACGTAGAAGAAACATTTACGTTAAATTTTACAGGATCATACAGTGATTCGGAAATAAAATACAACAATAATAGCTTTTTGTTTCATTAATGACGCTGTACAAACTAGATGTGCACGGGTTGTCCCTCCCCGACTGCTGACGGGCGAGCGCACAGTTGCTATGGGCTGTGCGAGTGCGCGGTGAATTCGAACTTGTCCCGACACTGTCTGTGGCAGATGGCGCACTGCCAAGGGTTCTCGCGTCCGTGCAGGCCCATGTGCAGTATGTGCATCGTGCAGTCCATGAAGAAGATCTGACAGTAGTGACACTGATACACCTCGCGCTCCAGCAGACGGATCGTTGTCGGCTGCGCCGCCACGCAGTTGCCGTCGGCGACGCGCACGTCTCCCGGCGGTCTCGGCTTCAGCCGCAGCGAGCGTCGTCCGACGGGCCGTCCGGGCGTCTTGCCCGCTGCGTCCGTCCGCGCGACCGACCTGTCGGCGGCGGCGGAGGCGCGCATCGAAGGTCGCGACACCGCGCCGAGTCCCGACGAGGAGACCTCGAGCGCGGCGCCCGTCGCGCTGCCCGCCGGCGACGTCGCGTCGCCATCGCGGGGTCGCTCCGGCCACGGCGCCTCGGCCGCGAGCGCCTGCTCCAGCTCCCCATCCTCACTCGGCTCAGACTTGACGAGCGCCAGGTCCACAGTGACCGCCTCCTTCCTTCGTCCCTCCTCCTCCGGCTTCCTCTGTGTGCCGTCGTCGTCGACCTCTGCGACGGATTCCTTCGGCGAGGAGCTTTTCTCGCGGTCGCCGCCGTCCGGCGTACCAACGTCGTAGGCGAACTCGGAGGACGCGTCGCGGCCGGCGATGCCGAGAGCGTCGAACGCTGCCGACGTGTCGATGTTCGCAAAGTCGAGGTGGTAGCCGTCGACGCCGCCGCCGGCCTGCGAGCTGTCGACGGCGGGCGGCGGCGCGTAGCCGTTGCCGTGGTCGATCGTGATGTATTCAGGCTCGTCCGATGCGACAGCGGCCGCCGACGTGTCTACGCCGTTTTCGAGCGTGCCGTTCCACTGCGTCGGCGGCGTCGCATAGACGCTGTGGCCAGCCGCCTGCTGCTGTTGCTGCGTCGCGCGCTGACTGCCCACCGGCGTGCTCCAGTGCGGGGGACGCACCCCGCCGCCGCCTGCGAACGGCATCACCGCGCCCGGCGAGATGGCCCCACCGTTGGAGTTGTCGCCGCCGGGGAAGCCGATGTATGGCCGCGAGTGCGCCCCGTGCAGCGAGCGCGCCATCGGGTTGAGGCAGGCGACGCTCTCATGCGCCTGCTGCACCTGCGTCCAGCTGCACTGCCGCAGCCGGTAGTGTTCGGTCATGTGCGCCATGAGCAGCTGCTTGCGCGGGAAGCGGTCGGGGCAGAGCGGGCACATGTACGGCTTGGCGCCGGTGTGCGTCAGCAGGTGCCGGTTCAGGTGGCTCTTGCACTTGAAGCGGCTCTTGCACACCTGGCACTCGAAGGGCTTTTCGCCCGTGTGCCGGCGGATGTGGTACTGCAGGCCGGACCGCGTGTACGTGAGATAGTTGCACTTTGGGCACTTGAAGCGGCGCCGACCACCGGGCGGCTCCAGTCCGGCCTTGCTTCTTCCTGGCCGGGTCAGGTCGCCACCGTCGTCATTTGTATTGGCCATCCTCGGGCTGAAGTTGCAAACGGAATATTTGGGACCCCTGGAATATGTTTCCGCATACGTGCTAAACTAATCTGAGGTGCTAAACAGTGCTCGAAATAAGCGTTGTCCGGTTGTCCGAGACAACCAGAATTTGTGCCGGACAACCTAACCAGTCTGAGACATTGTCCGGTGGACAACCAAGAAAAAAGTTGACGAAAAAACGCACTTTATTTATGTTTTTCTCAGTGGTTCTCCAAGAGCACTTATAGCCTGGCGGCCCGCCATTAATCTATGGTGTGGGAAAGCGACGCATACCAGCTGCTATTTCCAACACTGGTATATGTCAGGTTTTCTGATTTATGAGAGGTGAACTCGATTTGGAACCAGCAAACCAGCAAGTTTACCCCTACATTTTGGTATTTTGAATTTTCCGATGGCTTTGCCCATGCAAAACAAACAACATGCAGTGGGGATTCATGTTGATCCGAAAGTTAAAAAAAAAGAGAATTGTCGTAGTCAGAATGAAGGCTGTACATGTACTCAAAAGTGCTGCAAATACCATCTCCTGCGATCTACATTTTCAAAATTTTCTGGGGGAGGACCCCCATACCCCCCCGCTTGTTTTTCACCCCCTCCTTGGAATCCCAGACCCGCCACTGAACAATTACATATCTTGGGAGCAGAGAACAATGAACAAAAATGTCGCCTTTTCACATGGCACCCAAAACAAAGATTGCAGAGAAGGTAGAGGAGCCGTAGGGTGTGGAGAGGGAGGCGGAGGAGCCATTAAAATATTAAGTCATCCACTATTTCGCGCAGTTTGCTGTTTTTGGCCACCCTTGTTAAAAAATCCTGGCTACGCCACTGTTTTTGGGTGTTTTCTGACCATATTATTATGTGATTGAAAATAGGATTTTGGGATATTTTTTTGGGACAACCAGAAATTGTTGCGGACAACCCGATTTGATGCCTGGGTTGTCCGCAGGACAACCACATTTTTTTTCTTATTTCGAGCACTGCTAAATCAGGCGTGGGCCATACATGCTTACAAACTAGCTGATTTCAGTGTACTGGAATACTAATGGAACCGTGTCATGAAGTAGCAGAAGTCAGCTCAAATGCATCTCACACAGGAAAATTAAGATGTGGATTGGGGTAACCCTAAAACCCGCCAGTTACCTAGATTAATTAACTTCAGCTGGATCTCTATCTGGAACGGGTTTGTTTACAGTACTTGCAAATTGCGCATTGCGTCACGGTCAGGTATATGCAACGAATCATGACTACTAGTACTATCGTCACATATTTCAGTTATCATATCAGGTTAGGTTAGGCCATGAGAATTGAGGTATGAGTTTACCGTCAGAGATATTTTGAAAAGTGAGGCTTTTTTTCATTTTTCATTTAATATTTGTAGTTAAACCCATTGTTCATGCGTTTCCCCGTTTCTCGGGATCGGGCTGTAAGTCGATGTACTCAGGATACGTCGGCATGCTTTTGCGCCCTAAACCAAAACCAAACCCAAGGTCTCAAAGAGCCAGAGGGGGATCAGGACCACAATGAAGGATGTAAATAACCCCTGTAGCGTTTTTGTATTGGTAATGTCGGTATGTTTTAATCGCTCTGAATGGACAACTTGGGTTTTAATGATTTAAAAATGAAAATAATGAAATACTTTTGAAATAATGAATATTTTCGGCGGTGGCTCTGACGGCATGCGGGCGGTGGCCGGTAAACTCGTACCTCAATTCTCATGGCCTTGACGTTAATAATGTACTGTTGTCCTAAAGTAACTATGAGCCGACTGTATCTTCTAATAACACTGTCAATTTATTATTATTATAAACTAAAGTACAATGATACCAATGCCAGTAGCTGTAATGCTAGTACTAGTACTAGTAGTAGTAATAATGGATAATCATTTATGGCTCGCTTTAGCAATTATTTTACGTAGCTGTTTCCACTTTGCATTTCGATTCAAACTGTTCTTTCTGGTTTAAAATTCACTACTCTACAATAAACAACGACTTATATTAGGCTAAACATAGAGATGCAATATTGTGGCAGCCTTACAATTATTTATAGCGCTACTTTAGAAAATTCCATTTGTTGTGCTCGATTAGACATTTTCCATTTGACAATAGAACAGGTATGTTCCGCAGTGCCATCTATTGGCGCAGTAATGAAATAATATCAGTTCCGGTAGTACCACAATGTAGCAATGTGTTGAGAGACTAAATCACTCACTTACACACATATTATTTCTTCCACGTGACATATACCTATGTAACTGTAGGAAGATCAGGCGCTACACTGGGTCTCCCATTGTTCCTCCTTATGAAATACCCAAATTGTTATGTATTGTTATTTTCAGAACGGTGGTTTCACCTCTGCCAGCAGAAGATTGCCCCGATTTGCCCAACAATACAGCCATAAGGTAACACTTTCCCATAACAGTTCAGCAGATACCTATCATTTAAATATACCTATTTAAGAAAGTTATGGATTAAAATTGTCAATTTTTCTTGCAGTGTGAAGTTCAAAGATCCAGAGTATCCTGCAGGTTTCATATTCCCAGCAAAGGTGCTACCTGGTGCCAAGTATGTATTGAGAAGCGGTCTTATGAATGTAATTTTTTAACTTTTATTCTATCCATGGCTTGAGTATGAAGCCACAGCTCTGTTTTATATTAGGTTATTGGCAAAATCGCCTTATTCAAAGAGATAATAATTAAGCTAGTGTTTAATTGTAGTGGAGGTGCAAGGCAGTATTATTAAGTTGTAGAAGTGTAAAATAATGGAGGAGCTTATATCTAGAAATCATGACGTATGTTTGTGAACATATAATGATATGATCTAATTTTGTTCTCTTGTGTGCATTTGTAAGTCTGCCTCATTTTACAATCACATCTCTTCTATCATTTTATTTCTTAATATTGTCTAGAATCAATTCAGGTGTCGCAATTATAATTTTTATTTTCATTATTTACTATTTTTGAAATTGTTACTGTACTTTAACTATGTGTGTGGAAGAAACTTTCATATAACCTCATATGACGTAGTACGATCTTTTTTCAATTCATTACCGTAAATACCCTTGTCTGTGATTGAATTTTAATGATTTTCTTGAATTTTCAGCAGTTTGTGAAATTTGAAATGTTCTTTCTGCTTTGCTTTGATAGACCTCCAGCACCGTCATTGAAACCTGGGGATTTCAGGGGAGCAAATTACAGGCCAATAACAGGTTTCCAACGGTCTAACCGCGGTGCACATTTAGATCAATCTGGGCACCGAGCACTTAGGTTTGTGACTGCACCACTCTTGACCCGTACATCTTGCAACCTGTATTTGTCGTGGCGAACATGACGATTGTGTGTAGAGTAAATTGCATTCGTAAGCTGGAAGGTGCCACAAATATATAGCAGTAGTTAACAATAGGTGGCAGCACAGTGTAGCTTTTGATAAAGTGTTGTGTACAATCCCAGTTGGACTGTTTTGCCAGGGCAAATGATTTTTTGATCGTAGTTCTCTCGTTAAGAATTTCATTGTAAAATTAAATAGTTGAATTTTATCTCTACTTGTAAAGCATAACTGATCGCATCTTGTCAGGTGCGTAGATTGAAGCCAATCTTAGCAAACCGTTGGCAATTGCATTAGAGCAATCGTAATGTGTTTAAATATTGTGTTTTTTTTCCTTCTCAAATTCATAGAAAATCTTGAACGAAATTGCTATTGCTATCAGTGTTATAATGCTCTCGTTTCTCTTGGCTAAACGTTAGGCATACAATGGGTGGTGGCAGGGGACAGTTTGCAGCTGTCCCCCCGCCAGTCCGCAACGATCAGTCTTACGGTCGCTCTGGTGGCTACGGACAGGGAGGCGCCGATCGATATCAGGGACGAAACTACAACCAAGGGGCAAATAGTGAGTAACATTACTTTTATTTGATCCTGTTTTCTGGTGAGCGGAGGAGGGGGGGGGTATTTGTGCTCCTATGGTTTGTACACGAGCCGTACCGACTGCACGTGAATGAATGAGCATTTCCGAAACTCGCTCAGAACTATTGTACGTTATGTGGAATGAAAGGTGTGGGAGAGAATGAGTGCTTTTTATTGCTATTCATTCACTCGTTCGTTTTTTCGTTAGTTTTGCTTTTGGAGGTAATCTTCTAGGTTTTTTTTGCTCAAGTGGGAAATCTTCTGACGGTGGTCAACACTATGTGAAACATCCTGTGCATTGTCGCATTCCGATCCCCAGCTTTAAAAGCTGAAAATCGCACGATCAATGTAGTTTGTACTTCTCCGTAGTTGTTGACTTTCAAGCACAGATTGGCATAGAATTGAACAGAGAGAACAATTCCGTTTTCAGCAACAATTCGTATACATTCGATTGATGTGGTTGCCACGTGGTTATCGCTAAAGAAACAATAATTTGGTACAAACAAAATAATAGTGCAGGGCTATGCTATAAGGATCATAATTTTCGCTTTGCAACAGCTTTGGGCCGCCTCATTGCATTGTTAACTACCGCTTCGCTCTGCAATTCCTGCGATGCTTCAGCATCTGTATTTTCAAATTGCTTCACGTGTCAGTTGAGTCACATCACCAGCTCAGCCCTGCCCGCCGTGAGTCACTTTTAAACTCCACAGCTACACGTCTGCGATTAAGACGAGCGATGTAGCCAATCGGGTTTCCTTTGCCGCATAAATACAGATGCCGAACACACTTTCTCTCTCTCTGTCTACGGCGTGTATCGTGACGAACCCACGTCCTCATGCCACTGGTTTACCCTATGACCGCTAACAACGTATTGAGGTCAACCGTAATTTTGCCGTTCGAGAGGCAATTTGCCGAGCAAAACCCGGTTATTTTCGCGAGCGCGCGAGCGCCCCGGCCGGCAAAGCGTATGTGACTAACACCCAGAACGGACCGGCCGACGCTGGCTCCCCCTGCTGTTGCATGCGGGCGGCCATCGATGAAGCCCGAGCAGCAGCGGAGGGGCCTGGCCCGCATCTGCTGGTAGTGTGCCCGCGCCGGTAATTGTGCTCTCTGCTAACCCTCCACTGCTCGTCTCGCTCATTTGTCCGCGTACAAAGGGGCGCGGGAATTAATACCCAAATAGATTTGGCCCGAACGCGCGCAATCAACAGGCATTGAGGCCGGCTGAATTGCCCTCGTCGCGCCACTCCGCATTACTTCGGTCCGCAATTATAACGGACCCGCGCCACGAAAATTTGACGTAGCGCCTCGATTTTTGCGTGGCGTCCGTGCATGCGTTCATTTTATTTGCGAATAAAAATGCCGTCGTCTCGCCGGTCGACTAAATAATTTACGAGCAAACTGCCATCCTGATCCTCACCTGTCAGCACTTCAGAGGGCCACTTTACTCACTCCCTCTTATCCTGCACCTCTCTTCCACATATCTCCTGCACATTTCTCCTATGAATCTTTTCTGCACATCTCACCTATACATCTCTCTTTTCGAATCTTTTCTGCACATCTCTTCCGAACATCTCTTTCGCACTTTTCCGACGTCCTCCTACATGTCTCTCCTCCTACGATTCTCTCTCCTGCACACCATTCTCATCGCTGCCCGTGCGCCGAGGCAGCACAAATGCACACAGTGTGCCGTCATCACTTGAGAATTGCTATGAATCCACTCCCAACAATGTTAGACAGCTGACGAAATCTAATTTCACTGAGCGGCTGCAGCAGCGTCGGTCATTACCGCGTATTATGCAATGGGTTCGTTTCTGATCATCTGCATTGATACGGATTTGGAGTTGTTATTTCGCCGAATGGTGCTCCGATAATTTCAGTGCTTGTTTCCTAAAGTGGGGGCTCCCACGGTGTGGGTATCGGGCAATTTTCATTTTCCCAGATTTCATACGAAGCGAACGTAGATTAATTGTGCTGTCGGGCATGAAAACTAGAGTTTTATTAAGCGACTTCTCACCGGGCGATCGCAGTGAGCGGCTTTGTCTTCCCTATGCACATGACGCTCGATGAAAATTCTCCATTAATCCGTATTATTTGATGTTGCGACTGTTGGGCGGTGGGGCCCATTGCTATCTCGCCGAGTGCACAAATTGAAGTGTCGTGACTGTTTCGCGACGCGACGTCATTTCATTTAATTTCGTTTTTCGAATCGAGCGTCCAAGCGGGCGTCCTGCCGCGGCGCTGACCGTTGCGCGTCGACAATGGCGGCCCCCGCGGTGGCGGCCGCGAAACCTGCGAGTCGGAAGAAATCCGCCGCGCCGCCGCCCGCGAGTGCGTTAAGCTTGCATGCGCGAAAGTGTTGAGCTCGTTGAATCGAGGCGTCCGACTTCGAGCGTAGTCGCTGCGCATTGAGCGGCAGCGCGTAATCTGCTGCCTCCCCACCGCCGCCTCTATTTACGGCAGCCAGTGACCATGATAAACTTCGGTGGTGCGATTCCAGCTTATCCTTGCCGAGAATTTTAATTCCTCGTGCAAACCCGGCTGCACTGCATTCGAGCCGGATTCTTTATTACGCGGCTTATCGCACTCGAAGAGTCGAAACCTCGTTCACTAACGGGCTCTTGCCCTTGCTTAGGGAGGCTCTTTTCATCAAATTAACACTTGGTGTTTATGCGTATTATAGTGGTTTTAAATACGCTGGTTTTACCCCCATTAAAAAGCGTACAATGGCGAAATAACTGCCTGTGCATCTAATTACAGCTGCTTTAATAAAAATGAAAATGTTAAAATATTGTGTACAGATGGAAGGAATTGGTTTGGAGCAGGTAATTATGCTGTGCCAAGGAAATTCATTTAAATATTTACATTTTAGGGATTTAATACATTTCATGTGCATTGGGTGGAACATAGGTAAAAATGTAATTGAAATAGACGTTATTACGTCTGTCGGTTGCATCTGATTGTGGGGTTTACCCCTCCTCCCCACGACCTCCGGCGCTAACATTGGCAATTAAGTCGCAAGACTTCTGCATGCTTTTTCTGATTTACATGTACACGCATATGCATGTGAATAAATAATGAAATGATTCTATTTCGACATTTGCTACTCGTGACATAAGGGTTCAGAACTACATGTTTTGAACTAGCAGTATTTACTATGTCCTTTATTGCATTATGTTATGCAGTGGAGGTTATAGGGACTAGATCTAGCTGTGAATTGGAATGTGTGCGTGTGGGCTATGTGCCTATGTTCAAGCCATTTAGGTGCATGCCAACTCTAGTGTTCTTGCCTCTTGGCAGGAATTGGGAGGGGAAAATTTGAAGTTAGAACAGTAAAAATTTGTCTGTCCCTTTATTGTATCACAATTTAACTGAATATACTGCTATTATTTAACAGTCATTTCACATGCATTACAATGGCTGCGAGTAAGAGGGGGGGGGGTGACGTGGTGATGTGGGTCATTACAGTTGTTGTTGTGGTACTCTGCATGGAGCAGTTCACAGCTATCAGACTAAACAGTTATACAAGACATGACCATGTATTCAAGTTACCTGGCATGTAGCCATAACTGCCTGCCAGACGCTTTTATTCGCGTTAGGTTATTTTTCTGGTCTGGCAGACAAAAAAAAATTACAATGTGCCTATAAGTATAACGGGCACCCATGATATGGCTACCTTATTATTTTTAATTTTTGTTTCGTGTATGATGTATATTACTATGTATTACAACTCATATATAATGATGTTTATTAATATTATTTTTGCAGTGGATATTTTTACCGTATACGGCAGAGTACCGTACAGTACTTCTGATTGGCTAGTATATTTATGTATCATAATATGTGTATATATGTATGTTAGTTTATTATGAATTTGTTCAAAAGGTTTCATATTGGAAACGTGATTCACGGAAAATAGCTTCTATGATCGATATTATTGCCGACAATTTCCTGTAAATGCCGTCCAAATGCTCATCTGCAACACACTGACACACGCTGGCCGCCGCACGCTAGCTGCTGCACACTGACACATAAATATATATTTATGTGTCAGTGTGCAGCAGCTAGCGTGCGGTGTACTTGTGTGTTGCAGATGAGCATTTGACCGACATTTACAGGTGATTATAGGCGAAATAGAGTAGAGAAACATTAAGACTTTGGTAGTAAATACATTTCGTGTTTATTTACCATTAATTATTATTTTTTTATTGAGCCGTTCTAAATCCAAGTGCCTGTGGCTGGGTGGACTTGATACCGCAGCCAGTGACACTGACTTGTACCCTGTCACCGCCAATGATAATCTCAGTCAGTGCAAAAACAAAGAAATTAATTAACAACGTCGTAATTAGTCCACGTCATAGCGCAAAGTTCGTGCATTCTGTGTTTCCCATCGTTGCCACGCCGCCATCGTAAACAAACGTAGACAAACAAAAGATGACAACCCGCGAGATCACGCGCGAGACGCATCGTATGTTACCATAGTTACGAGCGTACGCGATGTCTCTCTCGTCAAGGGCTGAGAACAAGATATACAATGTATTATATGTATTCAATGTATTAAATGTATTACTAATGTTCTCGGGTCGAGGCAGCTCTGGAAAGGGGGGGGGGGGGCAAAAACATATCGAGGCGTTAACTTTGTGGATTTACCAGCAGGATTACGGGCATCGGGAAACAGATTTCGCCCTGTACCTTCCGTGCGCGCCTACTTCTCGGCGACTTTTCCGCGCTCGGCGATTGTCGTCGAACGAAAAGGTGCAATTGGGTGTGAACGCGCATTGGCGTCCGCGGGGAGCCGATGCCTCTCTTACGACGCTAACGTGGTTAGCCGCAGCTGAGCGGGCAATGCACACACTTGGCTCGCCCCATTCACGCCTCCCGCGCGCGCTCTCTCTCTCGCTCCGTGTCGCGTTGCTGCTGGTTACCCGACTCGCCCGTCGCCGCCGCTTTTCTCTCCCAGTCAAATTGCTGCACTCCCGAGACCGC